GATTCCTCAGCACCACATAAGCAAAAAGAAAAAAGCCGGAAGTGGCGCTGTGGCTCAAGTGATAGAGCGCTAGCCTTGAGCTGAAGAGCTGAGGGACAGTGCCCAGGCCCAGAGTTCAGGCCCCACGACAGGACCCCCAAAAAAAAAAAAGAAAATCCATAGCTGCTATTTTGTATGAGCAGAGATGAAGACTACTCTACATCATTATAAATAGTTTAAACATAGGGTTCACCTCCTTGTAAATGGAATTATGAAAGTACCTACCATACTCAGTTCAATATTAAGTTTTGTAATAATGGTCTTATTTCATCTCTGTGGCCTTCATAAAAGTAAACTGTGAAACTTTCCCAGTTACCATAGCCTCTAAATTTTCAATAAATCTCACATTTCTTATCCTGAGAAATGTGTAAACTCTCCTGATAAGGACAGCTTAGCTACAGACCTTCTTTGGTAACCTAATTTTAGATCAGAAGGAGTTAAGAAACTTCGAAGCAGTACTGCATTCCCCTCACTCATCCTAGCAACCAAGGGCAGGATCTGGACCCTCGCCACTAGAGGGGGTGTTTCTTCTATTGGTTTCACTTTCTCCAAGTTTGGCTGACCAGAATTTCTGGCTGAACAAGTAAACCTCAACATCGACATTCTGACCTTTTATTTCCCCCTTTATAAGTGGCTTCTTCCCCCTTCTTTTTGGGGGCTCTGGTTTGTTCATTGAAAATTCATTTTTCAATTCCCACTTCTACTATTTACCCCTCATCATACTCCATTGCCTTTCTGCACCCAGACTAACAAGTTACACAGAGCTTATTTTAGAGACCTTGACATTAGTATACTGAAAAATAACCACAAAATTCAACTAAGCTTGAGTATTTTCTTCTCCAAGTTTTTCTTTTCTTTTTTCACTTACCAGGTTAACATTATTTCATTTGAAGTAATAGCTACAAAAACATGAGACACTAGGCACAATCTTAAAGCACTCAGTGTCTTTAAGAGACTTGGCCAAGTTTTCAGGTAGCCAACAGTGAAACTATATGTGAAAACTCAAATTCCCTGGCTCCCAGAACATTTCTGAGTCTATTTCTTCTATGCCAGGAGTAAAAGTGCTGGGTAAAAATGGATTGAATGCCGATCTACTCTTCTTTTTACCACACCATTCTAAAACAAATAGCTATATGGCTGCTTATTTTCTTTAACTAGTATTCCTGGAAAACACTATATACTATACTTAGACTGGCCCCCACCAGAAAGTCAAGCCACTCACCAAGTGAGAAATGGATAAGAGATACAAGGAACAGGAGTTGAGGGAGAAGGAAAAGAAGAAAATAAATTATCAAATAATCATGAGGCTACATGATATAAAACAGAAGTATGCAAGAGCACTGACTAAGATCAAAGCAAAAAATTACATCAGGATCAGAAATAAAAACTCAAAGCCACCGTGCTCTAGGAGAAATGTTATTTGGTTCATTGCTGTTGTCTGTGAAGAACCTCAGTCTAGGACAGAACCCTAGAAAAGACAGAGACTAAGAAATAGTCACTTAGAATCTACATCTACTTTGTAAAGCCAGAAGAAAGGAGAAAGGAAGAGCCCTGATAAGAAAATTATCAGAATAGGATCACATCCACCTGACATGAATCTGCTTTGGCTGCAAGTGACAAGGTCCCAGACCACGCTGACTTACACAATGAGGAACTGTGTTATCTCACAGAACTGGAAGTTCAAAGAAAAGACCAAGAATAATGCAATCAGCAGTTCAGTAAGGTCATCAATGTTGGGCTTCCTCCATCTCTCTGTTCTGCCATCCTTTAGATTGGCTTCACCCCAAAACAAATCTCTCTCAGTGCCCCAAGATGGCTAGCAGAGTTCTAGTCACCAAACTCAGACACACAACAGAGAAAGAAGAGGTGCCAGCTCTGTCTTCTCTTTCAGGGTCAAAAAGTCCTTTCCCAGAGCACTTGGTCCCCTCCTGACTTTCTTTCTATCTCCCTGACCAGAACAGCTTGCAGGTTACTCCTCTCCCTTCACTGACATGGGAAATGGGACTGCCAATGCTTGCTTAGGCTAATCATCTGGAGTGCAACAAATGTGGGGCATCAATCACCATGACCATAAAGGGGGTAATTTACAATGATAAGTATTATTGTGATATTGTGTTCACTCCATGACAAATCTATAATTTAATTATGCTGTTTCTATGATCTTACCTTAACTCACATCTCATATTTATCACCATAAACTTGCTTATCAGACATAAAACATTTTATTATAACTTTCTTGGTCAATCTACTGTTTTAAGAAAACATTAGCAGGGGCTGGGAAGGTGGCTCAGTGGTAGAGTGCTTGCGTTGCACGCATGAGGCCCTGGATTCCTCAGCACCACATAAGCAAAAAGAAAAAAAGCTGGAAGTGGTGCTGTGGCTCCAGTGGTAGAGCACTAGCCTTGAGCTGAAGAGCTGAGGGACAGCGCCCAGGCCCAGAGTTCAGGCCCCACGACCGGACCCCCCCCCCAAAAAAAAAAGAAAAGAAAAAGAAAACATTAGCATAACACAGAAAACATAAGTAGGTTTATCTCCAATACCACCTGGAGGACACAGACATCTAGAACCCCATTTTAAGAACGATTTTAGCAGGGACTGGATCTGAGAACCGAGTGGCATGAGTCATCAGTGGGTATACACACATATCGTGGGTTCGGGTAGTATATCTTTGCTCCAAAAGAAAATGTCTTCAAATAATTTAACTGCAATGAGGATGAATTTCTCTACTGCAGTACATTTTTATCTTTTAGTAGAGATTCTTCCCTCATCTTTACTCTCACATCTACTTTATATAAATATACATATAACATATATACATCAAGCATGAACTCCAAAAAAATATTGAATGAATAAGGCAGAGTTCCACAGGAATTCTGAACCTGGGCTTAGCAGAACAGCAACATTTACAAACTCTCAATTAAAGCAAGCAAGGATGTCTTGGGGACCCAGGCTGGATGCAGACCAAGGCAGAAGAGAGGGATAGAAGG